CTTCAAGATAATGTAGAGGTCTTCAAGACTCTCCAGGCCTGATCCCTCGACGATGGAAACGTCCCAGGTGGAGGGTGTGGTCAGCGCGTTGGAGGAAGACATGATGATAATGATTTTGTGTGCGCGAATTATATATCTATATATATACTGATAAGATATGACGTCTTTGACCTTAACCTCCACACGTGGTATTTACGTTATCAGTCGGAAGTCATTAAACACACACGCTGCAACGCTGCACTTTGTAATGGTTACGCAAATTATTATGTTTTGATAAACTAATGCTGCATCCATGATAATCCCTATCAAGAGTTTTTGCACGCCACGATAAGCCTTGCATCATCAAGGATAATTATCAGCTCAGCGCTAAATATTTATTTAAATATACAAACAGTAGTTTTATGATATAAATGAATTTCAGATATAAATGTACAAATATCCTTATTAAACAAATTGTTTTCATGGTAAACAACGTCATCGTTAAATGACATGCCATAAAAGCGCTTTTAAGTCCACCATAAGTGTTTTTAAATTAATTTATTAAGATATTATTATTTATCCATTATTTCTTACATAAGGCTAACAATTTAACATTCTATTTACTCCACACATTTGGAAAACTATCTACACTCAACACTAAATGGCAGAAGCGAGAAGCGTTTGTCAGTCAAACGTTACCACCTTAAAAATCGAGTTTTAAATAAAAATATTTATAATACATCTTGTCGTACGCCCGACATCAGGTAACAAACACCCTTCCAAACCGACACACCTCCGACACCTTTCCCGTGTGCCAGCCTCCGCGGTGCCAGCTCTCTCAACCGTCCACCCCGACACGCCGACGGAAACTTTCGACACCGTGTGCCAGCTCTCTCACCGTGCCAGCTCTCTCACCCATGTACGTTCTCCCCGTGCCAGTTCTCTCAGCCGTTTAATAACACGGTGGTGCTAGCTCTCTCATTTTTACCCTACTGAGGCTCACAAAAATCTACCAAACAACAAGAAAACACTGTGAAGGAATGTTCAAGAACAACGCGCCATTTGAGAGACGAGCTGTAATAAGAATTAATATTCAAACAACAAAACATTAACAACAATACATGAAAATCATTCTCCAAAATCAAAAAAATAACCATTCATCTAACCTAATGGCTCACAGCCATATATTTAATTATGCAAAACTAAATATTTCAGTAAAATAATTTAATAATTTATCATTCAAAACATTAAGATAAATTACGAAAATTACAACCGTTTTTTTATATATCTATATAAATAAAATTAGAGTTTTGTCTGTACATTGCTTAGAATAATGAACTTTTTGGTTATTTTTACATTTCATAGGTCAGAGAAACCGAATCAAACCTTATCTCAATTTCTGTCTGTCTGTCTGTCTGTCTGTCTGTCTGTCTATCTGTCATTCTCTTGGTAACGCTAAAATACGCACTTTATTACAACTACTCCTCAATAACTATAGCACTGTCCCGCCTGAAACTTATTTTCCAAATACTATACATATATGAGATGGTTTTAGACGTATTTCATCGAATATGAGACAGTTAGATATTTAACAGTAAACCCTTGAAAATCAAGTTTTTGTCGATTTTTGACGTGGAATTTCTGGAAGCCCATGTTAACCTTATGAGAAATGAAATTATTGAATCTTAACAGCTGTTTCAATTAAACAAGTTGGTTCTGTTCTGTGATGTTCAATAGCATTAAAGTTACAAGGATTACCAACAGGGTGCAGCACTAGCACTATTATTTCTTTTACATTTATGACAACAGCTAATTTGCAACCTGGAGGCGAGTGAGCGTAGCGAACGAGCTAACCTGAAGGCAAGTGAGCGTAGCGAACGAGCTAACCTGAAGGAAAGTGAGCGCAGCGAACGAGCTCCAACATACAGGTGAGTGAGCGTAGCGAACGAACTTCAACCAGGACGTGATTGAGCCATGCAAACGAGATCAGATAGTAAAAATAAAAGTAAGCCTACCGTTATAGGATCGACCGGCAGACACAGAGGTAATTTAACCTTTTATTGATTGTCATACCGATCCGGAACAACAAAAAACAACATAAAATGAAGCTATGTATAATAGTTTGGCCAGCATATCTTAAAATATGCAAACCAACTGCTGTTCTTTATATAAGAAGGTTTCAACTGAATATTATAAGATCCCCGTGCGTAGAACGGGTACACAGCTAGTTGTTATTAAATGCATTTAGTCTTGGTAATAAATACACTTTTAACTTTTGGTTTAAATACACCCTGTAGATTAATTTATTTAGTGAATTACCCTTCTAGGGAATAAGCTATAACCGTAGGTATCATGCCAAGATATGAACCCTAGACTCTTTTACCCTTTCGCTTGACCTCAGAGGCCAAGAACACCATCCGTTCAAATATAAGTATACATATATTGTGACAAGTATTTATTATCAACATATAATAAATATTTGTTCTGAATGATCACTGGCCATGATCATTATGATATCAAATGGGAATTTAAGAGCTCCTTCCCATCAGAACGCAACGTTATTTACTTTGCTGTCATGACTTTGTGTCAGGGTTTTGAGGGTACAGTATATTAAATAAATCATATCAGCTGAAATATTAACATGGTGAGCAACAGCCTGTGCCTAGCCGGACTTTGTCCACTCCTATTCCCCACCGCCTGCCATACAGGAAATTTGCATCCTGACATGTCACAAGTTACAACTATGAGCAAATCAGACCTTTTCTACAAGGCAACTTCATGCAGTGAGGATGTTTTAAGTAAAATAGTTTTAAGCCATTTTGAAGAGTTTGCAGTTATAGAAGACCAGTGTCCAGCCTTGTGAACATCAACCTTTTCCCTTGTGTTCATTCCTTTTGGATTTATTTGGCAGAGGTAAGATTAGTCAATGGTCAATTGTGTAAATAATTTGTACCCAATTTTAATTTAGTTATGATTTAAATACTTTTCAATTTAATATCTGGTTCTTGATTTGGAACTAATGGCCAGACATGCAAACTGAGGATTTGGAATATTTGAGAGTACATCATTATTTTAATAAGTGAGATATTTTGTCAATTTGTTAGTTTTATAATTTTATCTATGGTAAATATTATAATCCAACGCTCTCGAACAACAGATAGGACAATTATTTTAATATTACATTAGTTAACTATTTTGGGATGTATCATGAGATATTTGGACACTTTCAGGATCTATTTTGTTTAGATATAAGTATTTGTTTTTGTCTCATATTTATTTATTACTGTGTATTATGTGTCTTATGTGCTCAATAATTCATCTTAGTGTCGGCCGACAATTTCTAATTTATTTTGGTAGTTATAAAATGGAAGTTAAAGGTGCAAATGTTTTGCAACTGATCAGTAAATATTTTCTTGGGTAATCAAATCTTTGGTATTCATTCATATTGCCTAGTAGCCTTATCTTAGAAGCTATAGTGTTTCAAATCAAAAATATTAGATTTGTTTGATTGCATATTTAGTTGGTAGATAAAAAGAAAAGATAATAATCTCTGCTGTCATTGATAATAGTTGAATTTTTATAGAAATATTATTTGAGACTTGTATGTTTGGTCAATTTCATTTATTTTAATATAGCCTCTGCCATATCTTTTTAGTAACTTTGTTTAAAAATTAATCACATTTTCTTTTTCCTTGGAATATTTCCTAGTTCGGTTTCTAGGAAGCTTAAAACTAGGTGGTGCCCTTTTCATGAAGAACTTTAGATTAATTAAGGATGAACACTCTGTTCATATACATCGACCCACCCCAGACTGAGCAACCTGAGGCCAGAATGTAACAATATATATTTTTATATGTGTCCGTTAGCACGATAACTTGAGTAAAAATGATCCAATTGTGATTAATAATTTGGTACAAAACTGCATACCTTTCGTATATTCAAACGGGTTGCGAACCAGAATGATCGCACTTTTGGAACAAGGTATATTAAGGGAGCCTATTCATAGAGTCAACATTGGGTTTTCCCATTCCCCCCCTTAAAACACGAACTCTTGCAATTTGTTTCTTAACTATATTGTAGAGGTCATGTAAAAATTAGTTTTGTATGTTGATGCGTTATTACCGTTTAATGGTTACTGAGAAAAGCTAAAAACACATTGTTTGTAAAATTAATCCATTATCGACGGAGTTGTGTTTCATAGTAAAATAATTTTCTCCATTCTAAGCTTAACAAACATTTCAATACATTTCTTTTAATTAGGTTAAGGTTATTTAATTTGGTTTAAATTTTATGTTTTTAAGAAAATAAGTAAATGGAAATTCACTTAATCTGCAGGTTTGCTGTGGCAGGGATATTGTTATTTGTTGTAACGTTAATATGACCACTATAACTGTACGTGCTGCTTCACATTCAACACTTGAAGGTTGTCTATGTTATTTAAGGTTTAGTAATCGCCGGGTACCTCGTAGTAAAATTTTGCAATAAGCAGACAATAGTAGAGGGATTATAAAAATAAAATATCCCCATAACTGAGCGGTAAAATAATTGCCTAGTTCACAGATAGTTACCGATCCAATCATAGGTAGTCGGTAGCTTTTTGATGGTTCATAATAAGTTCAGCTGTCTTTATTCATTGGGACTTTCATACATACTAAAAAACATGTACTCAAAAACATGCTCTTTGATTTTGTGTTATGGCTTGTAAAAATGCTGATTGATGGCAAACAACCAATATAAAAGCAAAAGTTTATCTATGGTTAGGCCAACATTTTAAACAGAATAACACACGAATAGCAATAGTATACTAACTGGTACATGTTTCGTTTGATAAAAGATATCCCAGCTAAACCATCAAAAAATTAACTTTTAGTTTATAATACAATAATGTAAAACATATAACAAAATCCGTTGAACAAAGCTAACATATTGCCGCAGCATAATGAGGTGATGTATCTAAATTGGTATAATTACACCCAGAAGGTTATTATCAATAAATGTAAACCACATTCGGTGGAAGAATACAGGTTCGCCACAATGAATATCCAACCTGTCTTATACCTTCTGTCTTTTGTGAGTATTTTAGCTTCAAAATAAGTAAAATTATCATATCTAAGGTATTTCTTAAAATTAATAGTGCTCTCATATATACTAAAACAAATATATACATTTTTAAGGTTGCTAGAGCAAAATTATAAACACAAATTTTCTAAGCATTATTTGCTGTAGCAGTATAAAAAGTATTCTTACAACATTATATACTCACCCATTTGGTATTCACTCCTTTAAAGATTTTTATCATGATAGTCGAAAGCTCTGGTTAAGTCTATTTAAATATTTCTTTTTGAATAACTTGTGAAAGAGGCTTGATTAATGCAGTATTTACAAATATTATTATGTCAAATATATATAGACAATGACAACGTTAGTTTTAAGCTAATGATTATTTTGATTTCAGTTGCTGGACAGTTTATATCCTTCACGAAGTCAAGCTGGCATTATTAAATGGTTGAAAAGCTCAAGTAGTGGCTTGAAGAAAAATGAAGGTAGAACAATAAATAGAACGCATTTTGAGTAAATGTAGGTCTACTTAAAACCAAAACGTCCCTTTGAGTGTTGTAATATTAATTACAACACTTAAAACTCCTTATCATATCTATACATCGGTACTAGCAGTTCCCGATTTCGCTATTGAACGATTTTGTCTAACAAGGACCATTGAAGTGTATATCCTGAATGTTTTATGTTGCAAAAATGTATGTTTCATTTTAATAATGGTTAGGGAATCTATTACAATAAAACAATTCATGAAGTAAATAACGATTGGTTTATTGGTCATTGCATTGGTTTTATTCTAAAGTTGTTATATTGCTTCTAAAACTTTTACTACTTAACCACGAAATTTATCTCTATATATTAGCAAATATATACTGTACTTATCAACAAGACTTTTCCTCTTGGTTACATTTACATTTGGTTATTAATGATTACACCAGCTATAAATACTGATTTGATAATACTGCAGGAATAAATGTTTAAAAGCTGTGTAAATATGATTTCCGAATTTAAATTAAACAATTAGGTTTAAAAAAAATCATTTTACATGGTTTTTAAGTATTATATAATTAGTAAATATTCTCCAAGAAAGAACCACTTGTTCTATTTTAGTAAACATATTTTAGTTTTAAATAATAAATCTTCTTGTAAAATTGTTTTTGTTCTTAGTGTATGGACCGCCAAACGAGGAAAACTCCAGCGAAGGTGAGATACCACACTACTGATTTTTATATATTTAAATACCCTACATGCACAATGTGTTTCCAATACTTTTTCACCATATGGAACCTACCCCCATATATTTACGCTTCAACCCATGTGTCTAGATGTGCAGATGTAAGAACTGGTTACACTTTTGATTAATCGAATTAACCAGATACAAACGCAAATAACATTTTTTGTAATATTTATTTGTTAACATTTCTGATTTGTAGTTTTGCTTAGGAACCACTATTGCGTATGTGCGCTGACGTTCTACTAATAGTCAAAGGTATGTGTTACCACTTACCAGACGCTAACACCTCTTGCTGCATAACCTAAGTTGGGTGAGCGGCTAAGGTGTGCTGTATATCAAACTCTTGGCTAACTCATAAGCATTTTTTATGTTCTTTGATACCAAAGTTTGGCCAGTCGAAGCAATGATAAAAATTGCTACAATAACCAACAGTGCAAACATCATAGTGTATAGTTGAACATCTGGGCGAAGCCTGTATCGTTGAAATTGCGAAGATCACTATCTTCACCTGAAGTTTCAAATACATCAAACGCCCAAGTTTCTGATTCGTTGGAGCTTTCCTTCTTCGAGGAAAACTAAAATTCAAATGAAAATTGAACAACAATGTCATCAATCATTTCCCCCCCAAGTATACTTGCTGTAACCACCCAAAACGTCCTTCACTATCTTCACTAATTGAACGATATAGTCATCCCTTGAAGAACATGATCCGTCAGTCTATTTTGATGGTGAAAGCCTACAATCAACAGCACGGTATATACAGATTGACACGAAGTGTTTTATTGCTATATTATATTCATGTTTTTAGGTGGCAGCCCTTCAAACTTTGTTGTCGGCCCAGCTAATACGAACGGTAAGATGTTATTTGCTAAACTATATGGACAGTCACTTTTCCGTACTAGTTAAATTTATAATTGAATATGTTTAACAGGCTATGCAAATTGATGCTTTTGAAAGCTTCGATCATGTACTGGAAAACGTATATAATCAGTTTAGGTACCTAAAAATCAAACGATTTATACATTTTATAGAGCATATAGAAAAGTTATCAATTTAGGAAACGGTAAATAATCCGATTTACAGTATCAACTTTACGCGCAATAAAACAAATTAGAGACATCTAATGCATGCTCACAGATTCTCACAGATATGTTTAATATTTTAATTGATATTAAATTAAAGTAACCGGTTTGACAGCTAATCATACAATGTGTTCATTTACTTGAGTCGTTTTAGCCACACTTTTACAAAGGTTGTAAGTCATAATACTGTGAGTTGTTGTGAACATTTTTTAATAATAAAAACTTTTATTATCAGATTAAAAAGTAAAAAAATGTAATAATTATTTTGTAAGTATTTATTTTACCTTTATTCTTTGGATTTCTAGGATCGGTGAGACAAACGAGTTCTGGACAAGTGTACAACGTGTTGATTGAGCAACAAAGAGGGAAAACAAGAGAGTGTGAAGAAGAAATAATAATTTCTTTGAAAGATAAGAAACATAAGTCACTCAGTGGAAAATGTACGAAATCTGGCTCACCGAAAATAATAAAGAACGTCGGAGATTTCCTATTAGTGGAAGGTCCTGAAGAAAACTTTTGTGCGTTCTCAACTAATAATAACGAAGTAATATACCTGCTGGATGGAAAATGGAAGAAAGGGGAGTACGGCAACGATAATGCTAACGACAAAGAACTAACTTCAACTGAGGTGGATGAATTGAAAAGGAGGATCAAAAAGTGGCTATCGTTCTTTGAGGAGTCTGACAAAGAAATCGAGAGGCTAAGAAGTTTGAAGAATGCCATCAGAGTCAAATTCTTTAATGAAAGAAATAGACTTACACAATTGCTACATCATGAAAGAGGAACCTGTATACAAAGCCGAAACGAAATAAACCAACAAAAAAATCATGAGTGGCAGAGACACAGTTCAGTGATGAGAAGCATTTATAGCCAAAGAGGATTAGGAAAACTCACCTCAGATGCAGCAGACCGTCTCATAACTGAAGAAGACACTAAATACAACAAAAACATTGACGATTTGGACAAAATGCAAGCCAGAGAAGAAGAAAGATTGGTTGAAGCAAACAATTCTTACGATAAGCAAATGGAAGAAGAAGAGAGTAAAACGGCTGAAGAAATACGCAAATTAAACTTTCTGGAAGGGAAAGAAGTTGAACGAGTTTTCAAACAGATCAAAATAAATATCAGCCAAGGGTGGTAATTTAATTATTCCAGAAATCCTTACTTGAAATAAAAGACTTATCGGTAACATGTTGATTTTTCTTTCAACTATCTCTCAACTATATATCTGTGATTTGTAATACATTTTAAAACATGCAACAAAAATCCGTTGGAACAAAGATTATGTATCGACACAGTCGTCTCTTAATTGGTATAATTATCTCCAGAAGGTCATTGCCAGTACATGCATAACTACATCTGGTGGAACAGTACATGTTCACCATTATGAATATCCATACTACCTTCTACCTTTTATCTTTTGTGAGTACCTAACTAAAAAATAAGTAAAACTATCATATCTAAGGTATAAAACAGAGCTCTTACGTTAACTGAAACATTTTGACATTTGCATACATATTTTATGTTGCGAAAGCAAAATTATGAACACACTATCTGCCATTCTCGTCCTTCGCAATGGAAAGAGAATGCTTATGTTTAAGTAATGTGCTGTCTGAAAACCTATAAGCTCATAAAATAAATTTCCACAGTAAATTTGTTATAAAGCACTGACAAAATCCTATCCGAAATCTTTGTTTATATCAATTAGAAAATTTAAGTCTATTCCTAAGAATGACATAAAATGGGTGAAAGCCGTCATAGCAGAGCCATAGAAGTGTATTAAAATAAAATAATGACTATGTCCATTATGACTGTGGTATATTGGCTCTATTCATGAAAAAAAATCTGCTTAATTGTTTAGTAGTTTACACGTTACTGAAATACTGGTTCATTCAATAAGTACGGGGACTGGTTCACTGTAGCCGTAGCCTCAAAAGAACAGTGGAGGGGGGGGGGGTCAGACCAGTTGGGTTCGATAATCGATATATAACTCGATAGAGGAGTCCTTCACCATTCGGGAGCACTTTTGATCAGTTGCCTACGGGCATTCATTGAGACGCTCCATTTTGGCCTGACGACTCAACGAAAAAACACTAGGCACAAATATCGAGCTCTTGTCTCAATGAATGTCCGTAGGTGACTGAACTAAAGTGCTCCTGAATGGCGAAGAACTCCTCTATCAAACCCAACTGGTCCGCCCCCCTCCACTGCTCTTTTGAGGCTACAGTGAACCAGTCCCGATACTTATTCAATGGAAGGTGTACTCCAAAATTTAATAATATTAATAATAAGTATGGTGTTCTCTGTTATAAGCATTATTTCCAGAAGGTTGTATCAAACGTATCTCATAACTTTATATTACCATTTTCCTCATCACTCTTTTGAAATAAGTTTATCATGATAGTTGAATGAACTTGTTCAGTTTATTAAAATTAAAATTATAACAAAAGCTTACTCCTATGAAGAGACCCAGTTATTGTAGAAGCATCAGTAGTCATAATGTAAGTATAAAGGTAAGTATAAATTCGATAATGCCAACGTTAGTTTTATGCTAATTGTTTAAGTATGTTGCTTTCAGTTGCTGAACTGTTCATATCTTCCCCGAAGTGAAGCTGGTATTATTAGTTGGTTGAAAAGTTCAAGTGGCTTGAAGAAAAATGAAGGTAGAACTATTAAATAGCTACGTAATATCAGTAAACAGTAACAATACAACACTTAATACTCACAACATATTTATTGGCTATTTATAAGCTATAACTTGTATAGCTTATTTACAGTTGGTGCTAGCGGTTCCCGAACTTGCCATAGAATGTTTCTCTGTACAACATATTAAATAAAGGACGATTTCAGTGTAAATCCTGCATGTATTATGTTGCACCAAAGTATTTCAATGAATTTTTGATTTTATATTACGCATTTTTATTGTTATTTTGATGTATGTATTTTTTGCATTTTAATAATGATTAAAACAATTATTAGGTACTATATATATAGCAATCTAACAATTTTTTACGATTAGTTTATTGTTCATAGTTACGTTGGTTATATTTTGTTTTCCTCTAGCATTGCGACATTGCTAATAGGTACGAATTTTACTGCTTAACCACGAAATCCATATACTGTAAAATGATACTAAAACAGGCGCAATACTGAGCGTCAAGCCTATGTTGATAGTCCATTAGCTATAAACAATGTTATAATAATACTGCAGGAATAAATGTTGAAAAGTTGTTTACATAATGGTTAAATAATTTTAAATAAAACAATTAATTTTTAAAATAAGTGATTATAAATAAGGCCTACTATAGATATGAACTGATAAATAGGTAAATATCTATACTGTGAGAAAGAAACCCTGAAGTTACTTATACTGTTATAGCAGAAGTTATTCATAAATTATGTTTTATAATTGTTTTTTTAGTTCTTGGACCGCCCAACAAAGAAAACTCTAATGGAGGTGAGATATCTAACGACCTATCTTCTATTCATCTAATAAACGCTTCATGCAAACTTTATTTTCAATGCTTTATTCATGGTATATGGCTTAGCCCAAAATATTATGCATAAAACATGCGTTTAAAAGTGCAAATTAACAAACTGGTTATATACTTTAGATTCATCGAGAGAAAGTAACGTAAAAAACATGTTTTTTTAAACCTCGTATAGAAATAACTATTGCGTATGTGTTACCACTTAGATTAGACCACACACAAATATTGCTCCGTAACCAAAGTTGGCTGGGCCCGGTGCACCAAACTCTCCACCACCGATGTGTCTTTGTCTGGTGTTCTCTGATACCGAGCTTTGGCCAGTATAAGCTAAAATTATTGACTAAAAACCTACCTGTAGGTTAATAGTCAATGAAACTATGTACTATTACAAATTACTGCTTTATTCAAGTGCTCTATACAGTAGTATCATAAAGGTTGATCCTAGATTGGACTTTGAACTTGGCTGTAAGCAACACCAACACCCATGATTTAGATGTATAGTATTTTCTTACTTGGCAGTACTAGTGATTAAGACTCATTTACCTTATCTTAGGTAATAAGGTAGCCCACAGTACAGTTCGGGGGTAAATACAGGGTCGTTCACGGGAAACGGGTGGATAAAAATTGCCCTTAAAGTCTTAAACATAGAAAAGGTTTTAAAAATAAAAATAACTTTTAATATAGCCATTCACAAAATAAATTATCTTGTTTCTAGTTTTGAATATTTACATAGCTCAAATTACGGCCATTGAAACGACACACATTTTCAAGCCTTGTTCGAAAACTTGTTTCCATAATGTTATAGATTTTTTTAAATTTTGCTCCTGATTGCGACATTCAATTCTTTTAGACACGTGTTTTTCATTGTAAGCACGTGTCTTCAGATGACTCAACAGGGAGAAGTCACACACATCGATGTAAAATAAATCCCCGGGTTGCGCAGTCAGGTTGAAGTACGGATCTAAAACACAGTTAACCATTTAATTTAAAATGATTTGTGATTTTAAATGACATAAATGTTTACGTATGGGAATATTTTCAATTCATTGGTTACTCTCAGTGAAGTAAAATAATTTAAAACTGTTTTTCTCAGGTTAATATCAGGCTAAAATTACTTTGAATCCAAAATGTATTCTTTGTTTCAAAGGTTTTTTAAAATTATACCCTACGGTAAGCATTAAAATGCATACACATAAGCTTGTAAATTCATTTACCATCCTTCGTAATGTAATGACATATTTGATGTAATATAATGATTTATACATAATTTGCCTACAGGATTGATTTATTGATATAAAATGAGGTTACTAACCTGTCCTAATATAATGATAATTACATGCCTGAAATTCAGTATCTACTATCTAAATCCCGTAAAGCGTAAACTGATGCCGAGCCGGCCGAGCTCCTAGCACCAATGACGACCAATAGGGGCTACGGAAGCCTTCTAAAACATAATTGAGTTTCCAATCAACGTATTACCGCACTAGTGACTACCACGACTATCCGCAGTACTATCCTGATAATTAGACCAATTCTTTAATACCAAGGCAACAATTTTGTTGGGATTCGACTATAAACTGTAGGTCCTTTAGTCATCATTTGCTGAATGGGCTATTCATTAAAAGCTGTTTGTACAGGAATATGTTGGCCTTAGTCACTAACAAGACTACAAGATCGCAACACTCATCCTACACTCATCTCAATTCATACTTGGCTAACAAAAAATACTTCGTATGGTTGCCATTTCAATAAAAAGTATTAAAAAAGTATTTAAGTATTACTCTTGACCCACCACGTTGAGTTTGCTCAGTTGACTCACCACTTGTTTACGAAAGCATCGTATGCAATGAAAATTAATGCTATTTGCTCACCGGACGTTACTTTTTCAGCTGATTTAGCCGATTGACTATTCCTGCTCACAAACGTGAATAATAGTGAATAAAGTTGAACAGAACTATCTTGTTTACTATTTACAGGTGTGGTAATGTGATAATTTCCATGTTGTGATAGGACAAATATGTTGCTTAAAAATACTAGAATAAATACATTTTTATGTGTATAGCCAATAAGTGGGGAAACAAATTAATAGTTATTCTTTTCACAGTTAATGTTCTTGTATATATTTTACTAATCCTTGTGTTTAATATTAGATATTGGACTGCCGACGAAACAAGAAAAGCGGAATGAAGGTGAGTTCAATCAATGAAGAGCATATCAGTAAGTTATTTTGCCATAATGTATGACATACAAACTCTAGAGCAGTTAATGATTTTCATAAAAGAGAGTACTTTTGTTCATACAATTTGTTCTGTTACATGAGTTTTTTTTTATTTTAGAACTTGGACTGCCCAGTCAAGGGAATGCTAATGGAGGTGAGATTTTTGCAACGAAAAATGTGAAAACAAAAAGTACCTTACTGTAGGATGACAAAAATAATTTTCTTTATTAATAAACTAGCTGTTTTACCCAATTTTCGCACAGGTAAACTTTTTAATTGCAAACTAAATATATCACCTGTGATATAGCTATACATCTTAGGGATCATCATCCTACGATGGAAATAAACTAGTAATTGATTACTTATACAAGTACTTATTACTATAAGATGTTGCTTTCAAGCATTTGTTTTGTCCCAAACAAAGTCATCTGGAAAGTACTGTTGATTTTTATTGATTTGTACAAAAAAATCACTCTCGGGGTGATCACAAACTATGGGGCTATTTAAGATTTTGATTAACTAATTAAGCCACTCTTCGTTTGCCACCACTCATCCTATTTTCTTCAACTTTATTCAATCAATGAAGAGTTGATTAAGATCTCTTAATCCTCTTCTGATTAAGATTAAGATTTTAATTAACTAATTAAGCCACTCTTCGTTTGCCACCACTCATCCTATTTTCTTCAACTTTATTTTAAAGCACATTTATCAGAAACATTGACCATGGATCATATCACAAAAAACTACTATGCTAGCCATAGAGTATGTCAGGGTCATATGTTATGCCAGGGCCAAATTTTTATGGCCGCTTTTTCATTATTACATTTTAATAGTAATTTTCCATAAATATCATCATAAAAATATCGGAACTGTTGCTTGATCTGAGTCCAGTTAGGGGGGCTACTAGGGCGTAACCTTTTTGTAAAATTTCTATAAACACTATTCTAATATCCCATTTATTACTACCTGAATAATGGTCATATAAAATTTCAGGCTCCTAGCTAGTGTTGAAGTTAGAGAATTAGTGGAGAACCAGCAGGTCAGTGAGTCAGTGAGGGCTTTACGTTTATCCGTCCAAAAACAAAATATTATATGCCAAATGTGATTAGATATCATAGTACCACAACATAAAACAAACATTAAAAAATACCGAGTAGTCGAAAAGTAAATAAGAAACTTAAGGGTAATTCTTGCAGTTAATATATGGCAGTTAAAGTTTGCTCATAATTTATGGCTGTTTTATAAAGTGATTTTTTTTACAACACATGAATAACACCGAATTATGAACCAACAAATTCCATGTTAGACTTTAATCAAAAGGCAAATTAGATACTTAGAAGGCATTTGTTTACGCACTGTATGACAATTAGTGATTGGTTATAACTATGTTTTTCTATTGAAGTATTTTTATTCGTAGGCACAGAACCACCCTTGAAGCAAAATTTAAATGAAGGTAAGATTTAGCACAACACTACTCCATTATAACCAAAATCTTTTGTTATTTATTGTGACCCTTGGTTGGAATATATAATTGATAAAATAGAAGAATTACCTTATCCAACCACAGTTGCTGGTATGACAACTAGTTTCGTTCCTTAGAACATCGTCAGGTCATTGTATGCAACCACATCATCAATGTACTAATACATTGTGGTATGTCAAAAGATTCTTTAAAACGCTGTCAGAATCACAATAATAAAAACTAGTCATGTTGATCAAATTATTAAAATTTAATAAAAAGTGATAAAAATGGTTAAAAATGTAAAGGCTGGCCAGCACTGTGTTATCACTGTCACGGACTAAATAAAACTACTATAGTAAGTTTAAAGTTTAACTAAGACTAAAGTTTTATTTATTAAGAAAGCCCTCTTTGTAAAGTAACTTTAGGGAAAAGAAATATAATTACCCATAATGTAGGTTTAATGAAAATATGGTGCATGCAGTTTTTGTTATAATAATTTTAGAGTAGGAACTCTGTGATTAAGAAATGTTTAATATATAATCATTTAGTTCTACATAAGGCAAACATCCAGCAAATGGACAAAAAGTTGTTTTTCAAAAGGGTGGTCCAAGTCCACTTTGCCTGTTGAAGTTCAGGGAAATTCCGAGATGTAGATAATTAGTTTATTAGTTTGTTTTATTTACTATATGCAATAATTGGGTTTCAGAGGTTTAATTTACATATAAATTATAATCAAATTTCTAAGTTAGAATGTAACTAAAAGATAAACAAGGCATTTGAAGTAATTCATGCAGGGACTGGATCTCAGTTAGTGTTTGGTTAAATCTATGATTTTGCTTTAAACTGGTATTTTTTCGTAGGTACTGGTTCACCCCCCGAGCAAAACTTTAATCAAGGTAAGATATAATGCAGCTTTTACTGAAATTACCAAATCCTTGAATTTGGTATTTGACATATCTTATAGAAAAAATACATGATGAAGTCTTACAGTAATACACGTTTGAACGAATTGTAAAGTTGCTATAGGTGACACTAAAATTTAATTTGCTTGCAGTTAAATAAATGTTTGATGTATTTATGATAAATGATCGTATAAAACATGTTTTACTGTGGAATATATAAGAGCATGGAGGGTTGCAAAGAACGGGTTTTTATTCTTGCCAAAATAGGCCTAAATACCTTTATATATTCTTTACTCTTATGTATCTCTATTTTCTTGGTAACAATTTATAAAATCGGTTCATAGATGCATCATGATAATATTTTTTCTACTGACAATCAAGAAAGAAAAGCAATAATAATGGTATTATATGCAGTCCACAACAGATGGTATTTTCAAAAATTACATTTTGGTGGTTTTTTATATTTTGTTTTTTGTTCTTAGGTGTAGGAGAACTTCCTACCAAACCATATCCCAATGGAGGTGAGATTTTTTATAATAACTACATCGATAAAAATAGATTGTATAAATTTAGAGGATTCAACCTGTAAAAAATAAGTACAAGTAAGCTGCTTGAATTAAAAAAGCCTACTTCGTTTTGATTTATTAAGCATATTTATCAATACTTTTTTTAGGGTGGCGGCCTCTTTTAACCTTTCATTTGCCCGTCCACATAGACTAACTGCCCGTGCGTGGAACGTATCCAGCAAAGCAAGGGGTGAGCCGGTAGAGTACAAAGGTGAACTAGTAGGCCTAATGATAAAATGTTTTCGGCAGTGACCAGGATCCGAAGTAGTAGCCTTTAACAAGTAACAGAGAAAAATGTTTTCCCCAGATAAATAACTTTGTAACCAAAAAGTGAGTAGGTAATCATGAGTAAATAGAGATGTTATAAAGAGTTACGTATGGCTTATAACAGACAGTAGATTTTTGTAATAACATTTGGTTTTCTTCTAGCACTGTTTTTTTTTTCAGTAATTGGACATCCATTTCCCAATGCAGGTGAGTTCGATTTACGAAATATACGAACAAATCTGCTTCTTATTATTAGGTTAGTATATTGCTTAGGTTAACAATGAAAATAATCCTGTAAAAAGTAAAATTAAATTCTAAAGTAATACATTCATGACATGTGGTATTTGTCTTTTTTCATTTTCTTACTCTAAGACAGTGAGTTGGTTTAAATATTCATCATAATAAACCATCTAACCAAGAAGTAAGAAATAAACTGAAGAGCTACATACGGGTTATAACAGAATGTAGATTTTTGTAATAACATTTGGTTTTCTTCTAATATTGTTTTTTGACACAGATAGTAACATTGAAACCCGGCTCCGTGACATGGAAAAGACCATTAAGGCTATGCTGGACACCTTCCGGACCCAGAGAGCCGTAAATCAAGTGGTCAAAAATGGAATGGCCAAACTAGAGGATGACCTTGGCTTTGTCTTTGCCTGCCGTCTGGTAAGCAAGGCGACCATGGAAAAGATTGCCGAAAAGGTGGTGTCCCTGCCCGATGAAAGAGCGCTGCCCTCTAAGAAACGTCGGAGGCCTTCCCCATCGGAGAGTCCTCCAAAAAGAGAAGAAGGCGTCCAGACCAAAAAGACCACGGTTAAGGCCAAGGCGACTCAGACGGACCTCTCGTCTGCTGTGTCCAGATCCTTTTCGGACGTAGCTGCAGCTCCAGCGAGGCGCCGACAGGCACAGCAACCCACGACCCCCCTTCAGGGAAGTTCCCGAAAGGGGTCAGTGGTGGAGACACCTGAGGCTGTGTGGGAAAAACGCCTTTCCAAAAAGGAGAAGAGGCAATTGAGGCGGGCGGAGGTCGCCTCCATGAAGAATGAGGCAGTGAAGGCACAGCCAACCGGCGTGGCCCAAACTGGGCCCGGCTCGGTCCCTGCTCCGAAAAGGTCGCGGCCCAAAAAGCCCAGTACGGAGGCAATCCTTGTCAAACCCTCAGGGGGGAGATCTTTTGCCGAGGTCTTGGGCGTAATAAAGGCCAAAGCTAAACCGGAGCAGACCGATACGGTTGTACGGTCGATTAGACAAACCCGGGAAGGGGACGTTCTCCTTGAACTGGGTAAGTCGAAAGACAAGGCTGCTTTTACTGCCGAACTGAAGGCAGCTGTTGAAGGCCAGGGCACCGTCCGTGCTCTTGAGCCCAAGACATCAATTGAGGTTCGAGACATTGATTGTGTGTCGACGGAGAGTGACGTTGTTGAGGCCCTGAAGAAAGCTGTACCCGAGCTTGCCGGGCAAACGGCCATCCTAAGGGTTTGGCTCACAAAACCCAATAGGAGTCAGCAGCGGATGGCAATCGCCGAAATGGCAGACGCGCTTGCCACTAGGGTGCTGGCACTCCAGCATCTGAGAGTTGGCTGGGTCAACTGCAGGCTCAGACGGAGAGTGGAAGTGAAGAGGTGTTTTAAATGCCTCTGTTTCGGCCATTCCTCCCGAAACTGCAAGGGACCCGACCGAAGCAAGAACTGCCTTCGGTGCGGGGAGGTTGGTCACATCCGTAAGGACTGCAAAGTCGAGTCCTGTTTCCTTTGCAAAGAAAATGGGCTCGCTGACAAACACGTAAAGCATATAGCTGGGTCTGGGCAGTGTAGTGTATTTAAAACTGCTCTACAGCAAGCGAAATCTCTCCCACGAAGATAAGAATCCTTCAGTGCAATCTGGAGCGATCCAGGACGGCTGACGCACTTCTTTGTCAGTTTGCCCTCGAACACGATGTCGACGCTCTCTTAATCAGCGAACAGTACCAGTATCGAGATAGGGACCCATCTTTATGGTTCCCTGATAGTCTTGGTACTGCTGCATTCTGGGCTCGTAATGCAGCTAAAGTACAAGTGCGGGGTCACGCGAATGGCCGAGGTTTCGTTTGGGTTCGGTCCAGGGATGTCACTTACTTCAGTGTCTACCTTACTCCCAACGAGGCCATCCGTGACTTTCGTGAGAAGATAGACCGCCTAGAAGAGAGCGTGCGCGATACCACCGGACACGTCGTCGTGGGTGGGGATTTTAATGCTAGGGCTGTCGAGTGGGGAATGACCCTCACCAACTCCCGGGGCAAGTATATTCTGGACTTTGCTGCCAGAGCCGGACTCGTTGTACTGAATGAGGGCAACACGCCAACTTTCCGCCGCCCTGGGATGCGGGGGACGATCCCAGACATTACCCTTGCATCTGAGTCCCTTTTGCCAAGGATCAGATCCTGGAGAGTCCTGGAGGATTACACGGACAGTGACCACCAGTACATAATTTTTGACGTCCTGGATGGTCATCAGAGACAAGTGGCAGCGTTTCGTCAAGTGCCCGTTCGATGGAACATTAAAAAACTGGACGTGGCAAAATTCAATGGAGCCATCCTACGAAGAACGCCGGATATTCATCCCGCAACTGGCGTGCCTCACGCAGAGGCGTTAGTTGCATCCACGATGGAACTGATTGTCTCGGCCTGCGATGAATCTATGCCTCGCAGGAGATACCGGTGCAATAAGCGTCCTGTGTACTGGTGGACTGCCGAGATTGCGGAATTGCGACGAGCAGCATTGAGAGCCAGAAGACTTGCTACCAGGGCTAGAGAACCCCTAGACAGACGGCGTAAGTCGGATGCTTATAGGGCGGCTAGGAGGTATCTTCGTCGAGCCATCAATCGGAGTAAACGCAGTTGCTGGGATAAATTAAGGGACGATGTTGATTCCAACCCGTGGGGCCTGGGTTACAAACTTGTAACCAAGAAACTTGGAACCCGCTCTCCACCTTCCGTTATGGACAGGGTCACTATGGAGAGGATAGTCGAGTCCCTTTTCCCGGCTCACGCGTTGCGACCACTGCGGGATTTCGGAAGGGTGGACGACGTCCCACTTTTCAGCCCTGAAGAGCTGGTGGCGGCCGTCATATCCCTGAAGAACAACAAGGCTCCTGGTCCTGATGGGGTACCCGGTGAAGTCCTCAAGAAGGTTTTGACTACCAACCCCTTGATCCTTTTGAGCATGTACAACGCCTGCCTGGTCGAAGGGGTTTTCCCCTTGTGCTGGAAGACAGCTAGGCTTGTGCTTGTTGGGAAGGGCAAGGGAGACCCAGATCTGCCATCCTCTTACAGACCTCTGTGTATGTTGGATACGGCTGGCAAAGTCCTCGAGAAATTGATCCGTTCCCGGCTGAATTCAGCCGTTGTCGCTGCGGGGGACCTCTCCCCTCGTCAGTATGGATTCAGGACGGGGCGATCAACGATTGATGCGATTGAGGAGGTGAAGCAAGCAGTGATGAGAGCTGAGGATTTTAACCACTACTCTCGCAGGGTTGTGCTGCTCGTAACGCTCGATGTGCGAAATGCATTTAATTCGGCGAGGTGGTGCGATATGCTGGACGCTCTGGAGAACACCTTCCACGTGCCGGCATACCTCATGCGCATCATAGAGGATTATCTCCAGTTTCGCCTCCTAACGTATGACACTGCGGAGGGCCCGCGGACGATGAGTGTCACTTCTGGTGCTGCCCAAGGTTCCATACTCGGCCCAGACCTCTGGAACGTCGCTTATGACAGCCTTCTGAGGTCTGAAATGCCTGAGGAAACGGTCTTGGTTGGGTACGCAGACGACGTTGCAGCTTTGATAGCTGCACGTAGCGTTGAGCTGGCTCAGCTAAAGCTAAACCGAGTTATGCGTACCATAAACGCATGGATGGCAGACCACGGTCTCTCACTTGCTCTGAGCAAAACCGAGATCGTGATTTTGACAAAAAAACGGATTGACACCATCGTGCCGTTGAGGGTGGGAGCCGTCGAGGTTCAAACTGTTCGTTCTGCCAAGTATCTTGGGGTCATGGTAGACAGCAAGCTTAGCTGGCGGGATCAGATCTTCCGAACAGCGGACAAGGCCGCTAGGGTGGTTTCTTCTCTTAGCCGGTTGATGGCCAATGTCGGAGGGCCTCGGTCCAGTCGTAGAAGGCTGTTAATGTCTTCGGTCCAGTCCGTACTCTTGTACGGTGCGGAGGTGTGGGCAGACGCACTAAATAAGGAGGCATACAGGATGCGGCTCGCCCGAGTGCAGCGTCAGGCAGCACTGAGGGTAGCATCTGCCTACCGAACAGTGTCCGAGCCCGCCGTCCTGGTGATTGCTGGAGTCATCCCCGTCAAACTTTTGGCGGCGGAGAGAAAGGCAATTTACCGGCGCCGCGGGGAGGACGAGGCACGAACAGAGGAACGCACCCGCACCTACCAGCTGTGGCAGGAGGGCTGGGAACAGGAGACACGGGGACTCTGGACCAGGCGACTGATACAGCAAGTCCAACCTTGGGTTGATCGGCGGTACGGAGAGGTGGACTTTTACCTCACCCAATTTCTGACGGGACACGGCTTTTTCCGGTCGTACCTGTTCAGGATGGGCAAAGCCGTGTCTCCCGACTGCATATACTGCCCAGGCATTCTCGATGAATTGGAACATACATTTTTCCACTGCCAGCGCTGGGAAAGGCCCCGCCTGGAGGCTCAACAGTTAATAGGACTGCTGTCGGTGGACACGGTCATACCGATTATGACGGAGGGTGAGGACAATTGGACCTGTGTGTCACATTATGTCCAGGGTATCCTCCGCGCCAAGAAGATCGACCTTGACCGGGATGCGGTGTAGGTCATAAAGAATCAAAATGCCAGAAACGGTGCGAGCCCTGAGGGCTTAGGTCACATGTTGGCCTGACTTGAAGTAATGTGACAAACAATTCCAGGTCTGTGTCCAACAGAGTAGAGGGGGTTTTTTAGTGATGTCTGATAATTTCAGGAGTCTCACACTACAGGCTGGCTACCTGTGTGCGTAAAAGCATTTTCCCTCCTCTCCCTAAAAAAAAAAAAAATATTGTTTTTTGTTATTTGCAGGCTTTGGACATCCTCCCAATGCAGGTGAAATCTGTTTATAAAATAAAAAAAATCTGCTTCTTATTACTAGGTTAAAATTGATTTTTATGGTTTAAATGTTCAATTTTGTTGAACAATTAAAGCATATGTTATGTTATTGTTGTTGATGTTGCTTAGTTTCACAATGAAAATCATCCAGTAAAAAGAAAACTTATAAAAATATTCTAAAGTATTAGATGTTATTCATGACATGTAGTTTTTGCCTTTATTCATGTTTTCATTCTAAAACAGTGAGTTGTTTTTTTTAAATATTTATCATAATAAACCATATAATCGAGAAGTAAGAAATAAACTTAAGAGTTACGTACGGGTTTTAACAGACAGTAGATTTTTGTAATGACATTTGGTTTTCTTTTAATATTGTTTTTTTTTTCAGGCATTGGACATCCACTTTCCAATGCACGTGAGTTTTAATTACGAAATATACGAAAGAATCAGCGTATTACTATTGGGGGAAATCGTTTATTTATATTAAACTGTTTATTATCGATTAAACAGTTCAACTATAGTTAGTATATTGCTCAGTTTCACAATAAAAATTATCCTGTAACATTTAAACATAACCAATTTAACAATTGTCAATTTTAAAAAAATTAAAATTTTCGTAAGATAAACCTAGAGTAATGTATGTCATTCATGACATGTGGTTTTTGTTTTTATTCATGCTTTCATTGTAAGACATTGAGTTGGTTTATACAGGGTGTTTCAGTAAAGCGTAGCGGGCTATGCAGATTCAGATTCTACATGCAAAAATAAGTCGAAAATGTAGAATAACTTTTTTTTTTATTTCGGCTTAGTTTGGCCGTAATCCGCCATTTTGTATTTTTTTGAAAATAATTAATAACTCAAAAACCCTTGGAGATATTTTTATGAAACTTGGTACAAACTTTATTTCTACAGGTATAAACATTCTCCGAAAATATCTTTGATCAGGCTCATCAAATTTCAAAATGGCGACCATTTAAAATTTTTGTTTTAATGGCCGGTTTTCATTGTATTTACTTAAAAAATTTTAAATGGCCGCCATTTTGAAATTTGTTGAGTCTGATCAAAGATATTTTCGGAGAATGTTTATACCTGTAGAAATAACGTTTGTACCAAGTTTCATAATAAAAATATCTCCAAGGGTTTTTGAGTTATTAATTATTTTCAAAAAAATACAAAATGGCGGATTATGGCCAAACTAAGCCGAAATCAAAAAAAAGTTATTCTACATTTTCGACTTATTTTTGCATGTAGAACCTGAATCTGCATAGCCCGCTACGCTTTACTGAAACACCCTGTATATTCATCAAAATAAACTATCTAACCGAGAAGTAAGGAATAAACTTAACAGTTACGTACGGGTTATAACAGACAGTAGATTTTTGTAATTTGGTTTTCTTCTAATAATGTTTTTTTCCAGACTTTGGACATCTTTTTCCTAATGCAGGTGAGATCTTTTTACAAAATAGAATATTATAAAAAAATCTGCGTCTTATTATTGAGTTGAAATTGTTTATTCATAATTCAAATTTCGAACTATAGTTGGTATACTGCTTAGGTTCACAATGAAAACTGCCCCGTACAAAATTAAACTTAGTAAAATATGAGTAATTCATGTCATTCATGACATATGGTTTTTGTCTTTATTCATGTTTTCATTCTAAGACAGTGAGTTGGTTTACATATTCATCATAATGAAGCGTGTACTAATATTTATAGTAACGGTACTGGACTCATATGGATCGTTAAGGCTTAATATGTCCAATTTATAGATGCGTGTGATATTCTAAGGCGAATAATAATACACTTAAATTAATTACTGAGTTAAACCACATCCATATCACAACCATTTCGATGATCCAATATTTCTAATACATCTGATTAAATAATAAGCTAAGCAAACGTAAAAATTCCATTCGAGTGTGCCGAAAAGTATAATTTACATATTAAGCTGGTGTAGTTAATAGTTCCCTAAACCCCTTAATCCCCCCCCTTTCCTGAAAGATTTAGAACATTGTAGAAATATTAATTCTAGTGGTAAAACTGATCCAACTGTAGACCGGCGTCCAGCACGGATCCGCTCGGGTGACTCCTGGCACCCAACTCCTTCTCTCACGACCTTTCCTATATCCTCCCCAAGTTCTCAAGCTATCATCTGATTTGCGGTATGACGCGGTCCTCTGTGACGCAAGCGTCACAATTATAAACTAAATAACCAAGAAGTAAGTAATAAACTTAAGAGTTACGTACAATTTAACCAGTATAACAGACACTAGATTTTTGTAATAACATTTGGTTTTCTTCTAGCACTGTGTTTTTTTTTTACAGATATTGGACATCCACTTCCCAATGCAGGTGAGTTCTATTTACGAAATGTACGAAAAAATCAGCTTTTTTTGTTAGGTTGAAATTGTTTACGGCAATATTGTTAAATTCTGTTAGTATGTTGTTTAGGTTAACAATGAAAACAATCCAGTAGAAAGTAAATTGTAAAATACATGTAATACATAGCATGTGGTTTTTGTCTTTATTTATGTTTTCATTCTAAGACAGTGAGTTGGTTTAAATATTCATCATAATAAACCATCTAGCCGAGAAGTAAGAAATCAACTTAAAGAGTTACGTCTGGGTTGTAACAGACAGTAGATTTTTGTAATAACATTTGGTTTTCTTCTAATATTGTTTTTTTCCAGACTTTGGACAGCCTTTTCCAGACTTTGGACAGCCTTTTCCAGACTTTGGACAGCCTTTTCCAGACTTTGGACATGCAGGTGGACCTTTTCCGAATGCAGGTGAGATCTTTTACATAATAGACCATTATACAAATCAGCGCCTTATTATTGAGTTGAAATTGTTTTTTATGATTCAAATTTCTAACTATAATTGGTATATTGCTTAGGTTCACAATGAAAACAGCCCCGTGCAAAATTAAACTTAGTAAAATATTTTAGAGCAATGCATGACATTTATGACATATGGTTTTGTCTTTATTCAGGTTTGCATTCTAAGACATTGAGCTGGCTTATTTATCATAATAAACAGTTACACGCGGGTTATTGCAGACAGTAATTGGCAATAACATTTGGTTTTCTTCTAATATTGTTTTTTTTTTTTAGACTTTATAAATCCTTTTCCCAATGCAGGTGAGATCTTTTTACATAAGAGACTATTATTAAAAAATCAGCGCCTTATTATTCAGTTGAAATTGTTTTTTTTATGATTAACATTTCTAACTATAGTTGGTATATTGCTTAGGTTCACAATGAAAACTGTCCCGTACAAAATTAAACTTAATAAAATATTTTAGAGTAATGCATCTACTTGAAAATCTTCCTCTTTGTGAAAGAGGAGGGGTTTGTTTGGTGTAGTATTTATCTAAGATTGCTACAGCGTCATTGAATCAAATATTACTTACGGGTGTAGGATGCACCGAGTCGAATAGAATTTTGAAAGGTTGTGGGCCTAAGTGTCCTAGTAAAATTTCTCGTTTCTTGTCTTCATTCTTGACGTTTTCGTTCCTTAATCCGATCTTCAATCGTTCATACCAGTAAACCCAATCTTCGGTCGTCCGTCAAATGAGCTACACTTAAAATCAATATTTTTCGACTGCGCCATTGTAGTGTTGTGGTTTATTATATTAATAGAATAACTATTTTGAAAACATGATGTGTATTCTATGAGAGTAAACAAACAACTGAACTGTAAACATATCGACAATTAATTATTCATCTTAAAACATGTGAAGATAACACCAGCTGATACACTACATCAAGTTTGCCGCCATTTTGGAAAATGACCGCCATTTTTGAAATAATAGAATAATTAATAGTTTTAACGAATTTTATGGTCTTTTTGGAATGTGGATGCAATTTTAAGACTTATTTACTTTTCGCATTTTCGCTATAAACCTACTTGTTTAGGAGCTACATAATGTAAAATGTACACCGGAAGTCATTTTTCCATAGGCTGTAACTCCTAAACAAGTAGGTTTATCAAAAAAATGTCAAGAATAAAAAAGTTTTAAAATTGCCTATTCTATCCGAAAACATGACAAAATATAGGGTGTTTCATAAGAAATTTCAAAGTTGGCCACCATTTTGGAAAATGGCGGCTTAATTTCGAAAAAATGAAATCATATTTTTAACTGCCACAAAAAATAAAGGAATGTCCCCATTTAAAGTTTTCTCTAATTCTAACCGTTTCCGATATCCCAATGGTGGCCTCCTTGAGTTGATCACCCTGTATTGCTTTCACAATGAAAATTATCCTGTTACAATAAAGATAAGCCTAAAGTAATGCATGCCATTCGTGACATGTGGTTTTCGTTTTTATTCATGCTTTCGTTCTAAGACAGTAATTTCTTTTGTAGGCATGGGCTTCTTCAACGATCCTCGTTTCCATGAAGGTAAGAGTTTACAAATTATTGAACTAATACAACAATTATACTTTTTTTAACTTAATATAAACTAAATATGAACTTAATATAAACTGAATAAACTTAAGGGTTACGTGTGGGTTATAACAGACAGTAGACTTCTGTAATAATGTCTGGTTTTCTTCTAATATTGTTTTTTTTCCAGGCTTTGGGCCTCAATTTCCAAATGCAGGTGAGTTCGATTTACAACATATACGAAAAAATCTGTGTTTTATTGTTGGGTTGAAATTTTGTAATTGATTTAACTTTTACTATCGATTAAACTATTCAAGTATAGTTAGTATATTGCTTTGACAATGGAAATTATCCTGTTACAATTAAACTTCGTAAAATAAGCCTAAAGTAATGCATGCCATTCATGACATGTGGTTTTCGTTTTTATTCATGCTTTCGTTCTAAGACAGTAATTTCGTTTGTAGGCATGGACAATTTCAACGATCCTCGTTTCCATGAAGGTAAGAGTTTACATATTATTGAACTAATATAACAATTACACTTTTTTCAATATATTTCTTTATTTATGGAAAAAATATTGTACGAAATTGTAAGATTTTGGTTATATATAATTAAAATATTTTCATTGAATTTTTTTAATATTCAAGAGAAAATTGTTTTATTTAATATACACTGCCAAATCTGTATACAACTGAGAACTAAGAAGCAAACTCTTGGTATGATTAAGAACACGACGGTTAGCGTGTTTTTAACAAACGCTTTTATTCTACCAGACGAGGAAGTTAAAAAATAAACTACTTTGTAGAGAAATCATTTAAATGTTTTTTTATAAACACGCACATAGAAAATATAAAATTAAAAAGTTAGGAGAAACACAAGATCATTTCCTTAAACCGATTTTGTTTTTTAGTTAAAGTTTGTTTTTCTTTTAAGATTTTGTTTTTGCTTCTAGCATTTGATCAACAGAACATTGGATATTCCAATATACGTGAGTAAAAAAAATACAGAAAATAAATATTTGATTTGTCATTTAGAAACAAAATGCTATAGGATATTGGCAACGCATTGTTGTAAATGTTCAATTCTGGGATTTCATTCACACCACAGCAATAATTAAAAACAAGAAAGATTAAACATAACTCATAGCCAAGAGCAGTGTAGTTTGATAGACATTTGAAATTATATTGTTTACAAAAACTAAATAATCGAACAAAGACTTATTAAATATTTGTTTCATTCTAAATTATTTCAGTGCCAAAATCTGAAGTATGATTTGTTGGTTTTCAATTTAGTGTGGCAGTATAATGTACAGCTGTTTGCCATATCTAAGTTTAACTGTCTCTTATATTAGAAAAAGTTTCAGTTAAAACAAACAAATGAGAGGGCAATACATATAACAACACATTTTATGTTTAGTTTTTATTTTATTTATTATTATTTTTTTTAGAGAATGAAGGATCGAATCACAGACTTACATTCTTTGAAGTAGAAATGAAACGGTCGAGGGAAAATAATGCCAATTGCAAAGAGGAAGTATCCATTACACTTCTGGCTAAAAACCAAAAAAGATGGTTTGAGTTACAATGTTTGGAAAATGGAAATCAAAGTAACGTAATGGAAGGACGTGACGGTTCAGTTTTGGTGGGTCATCTAGAGACGAACTTCTTTGCTTATTTACCAAGAGGGGAAAAGTTTTACTACAGAATTAATGGCAAATGGAAAGAAGGTAAATTCGGCCAAGATATCGCAATGGACAAGGAGCTTTCGGATAGTGATATATCTCAAGTCCAGCAAAAGATCGAATCTTCTTTCCCTTCACGTTAAAAAAGGCAATCAATGACTTGTTATAACACATTTAAGTCTGAATAAAAATTTTTTGACACCATGCTTTTACTTGAAAATTGATGGTAACAAACTAATGTATTCTAAAAATATAAGCTAAATGGACGAAATTTATTAACGGTAAAACTGGAGAAAACATTTACTTTGAAGGGCTTACAGCATTTGTTTATTTTACTTTAAAAGTCTTAAATGGTTACTACAGGAAAAATGTGGATTGATAAAAATTGTAAAAACGTTATATTTTTTTACCCTAATTTGCATCAAATTCTAAATTCTTTTAATTTTTTTTTTTTTATTTTAACTTAAATAACGTTCTGATGTAATTGGACTTTAAAATTGTTTTTGACTGCATTACTTAAGACAACATTAAGGTTTAATTTAAATAGCCTATTGTTAGAGAATTTTATTTTTGTAAAAGATATTTACAGTTTATACCAAGTTTCTTATTTTAGGAAAGTTATAAAAAACAGAGAAGCGTAATGTAAAATGAAAAAGTATCGGATATTTTACACCTATTTTGGTATGTAGTATCTGGTTCTGAATTGCCCATTACGTTTTCGTGGCACATTGTATACAATTAACGAGTTGGTTTTCGTACCAGTATGAAAATTCACTTTATTAATTGAATTAATTTCTTTTTCACCACACTATGATGTTTTTAGCGGTTTTACATACGTTAATTGGTGGCTGAAAGTTACGTTTTGCTGGTCATGCCAGCTGTCATCGTTATTTGGGGACCGAGCAGGTTTTTACATCCCTAGAGCCGCAAAATCAGCTGCCCGCTTACTTACTTAAAACATGAATGCATATTAAATACACAATGAGTATCTATAGCATTGCTATTGAATTATTTTATTGTCACCGTTGCCTAGCAATGTTTTATTATTTTTGCTGATTCCTCAAAAATATTTCTTCGCATAACCTTAAAGTTGTAGTTGTTTTGACTATCAGTGTGCATTATGATAGTGGTGAATAGTGGTAATAGGGTATAGTGTGGAGAAGCGTTCGTACCATGGACCGAAATGGTTTTGCAGCTCTAGATCGATTTAAGTAAGCCAGCAAAACCTCATTTTCGGCCCTAGGTACGAAATATACTAATATAGACATAGCAAATAATATTGCTTAATATAAATTGGAACGATAACAAGAGTTTTAAATCAGCTGTTTTAATTGAATAGAAATAATTGTGGGATCAAAATAATTAGCCTATTATTAACATGAGGTTTTATTGCCTTTAAGCAATGCAAGTAGACTTATACTCCTTATTGTAAAATCACACACTGCGCTTAAACCCTGTGTGGGTGCGAGTGTAATGTGGACTAAATTGGATAAATATTTTGTTAGCAAAAATAGTATAGATCTTATATAAATAGTAGTTAAATATGCAATTGAAAACAATATATGTTTAACTAATTAGCCTATTACAGATTAACGTTCATCAACTATTAGAAACATACAGTTTTACTATTCAATTTAAACACTAAACAGTGAACTAAGCTTCTCGTCCTGCTGGAAGCCTGTTGATGAGTTGAGTGTATTTGTTGGCGACATTTGAGTGGGCTGATGTCGACTAAAATATCCACCCTAATTTTAGGTCATATATACAGGGTGTCCCGGAACTCTCTACCAATATTTTAGGGCATTGCTCCTGGGTAAGAAACATACCTAAATATCATATTTAAATTGTCCGGAAGTCCTTAGTTACTCACACAGCCGCCATTTTGTTTTTTCCAGTTATTAATTTTTTTCTAAAGAATGGTTAAACATACGAAATGGAAACTTTGCACAAACATTAATGACAACTAGACAAAGCTACAAAAAAATTACGACGATTTTTCAAATTCATAAAACAAAATGGCGGCCATTTAAAATTTTTATAAAATCAACGGTTTTTGAGCTATTTAAGAAACAACATTTTTAATGGTCGCCATTTTGTTTTATGAATTTGAAAAATCTTCATAATTTTTTGTAGCTTTGTCTAGTTGTCATTAATGTTAGTGCAAAGTTTCCATTTCGTATGTTTAACCATTCTTTAGAAAAAAATTAATAACTGGAAAAAACAAAATGGCGGCTGTGTGAGTAACTAAGGACTTCCGGACAATTTAAATATGATATTTAGGTATGTTTCTTACCCAGGAGCAATGCCCTAAAATATTGGTAGAGAGTTCCGGGACACCCTGTATAATACTATTATCATTTAATATTTTGTGTAATTAATTATTTTAAATATTTAACGATAAGACATGTTTTGCTGATGCATAAAGATTACATATCTACATATTCAATGGTGTAAGTAAGTAAGTTTAATACATTATGACCTCATGATTTATGAACCATAATTTAAAAAAGAGAATCAAATTCAAAAATACTGTACATAATTATTACAAAAATTGGATTTATTATGGTGCATAATAAGAACATACTATAAAGAGACACTCGTTATGGCCAAATATTTAGGATGACCTAAAGTATAATTTTAATAGTTGGAAATAACAACAGTTAGTCTCAGCAAATAAAAATTATATTTATTAAGCTAACAACATCCGAACCTTATTGTAAAACAAATTATTGATTAAACTACTAATGATAAATTGTTATACTTTATACTTTCTTATGAAATTGCGACCATACTATGTAGGTATTTTAAGCCAAGTATGAATGGAGATGAGTGTAGGATGAGTGGCGCGATCTTGTAGACTTGTTAGTGACTAAGGCCGACATTCCTTAGACACAGCTGTTAATTAATAGCCCAAACAGCTAATGGCAACTAAGAGACCTACAGTTTATAGTGGAATCCGAACCACATTTTTCCTTGGTATATACGAATTGGTCTAATTATCAGGATAGTACTGCGGATAGTAGTAGTACTCACTAGTGCGGACGTTAATCCACACCAGGGAGTATATATATATATATTTATGTAAAACTTCTCTAGAGAGGATCCAAATGTAGTTGTACATCCTGAAAGGTCAACACTCCCTAAAATATTCACTACCTCATGAGTCACGTACGCTTCCTTGACGTCTTGCAGTTGAAAAGTATAAACGTAAACTATTGCAATTGTTCTGAGTTATATGAAATATATATATTTAAATTCACAGGCCATACGAGTACTCTTAAGTTTTAACTACATGGCCTAGAGAAAAGTGTCATTTTTTTAAATAGAAAAAAGTTTTATTCATCTCAAACTTAATAAATGAAATGGAAATCTGTTATTTTTGTAAATCCTAATAATTTGTTATAGTATTTTAAAAGGTTTTTTTTAAAGTAATACTTGTGAAACATGAAAGGTAGCATTATTTATTTAGTCGGTGTTCTACTCATAGGCATGTGAATGTGAAATAGTCATGACATAATATTTATAGTCATACAATTTTATCGTCATAACATAATATGGTAAAGTAAATAAATATTTTAAAATGATTCACAATAAAAAAAGTTATGATAAAAAGTATGATTATTTTAATTAAAAATTAAAAAACCTCATGTTTATAACATATTTTTAAAATAATTTTTTATTATAATATTTAGTAGTCTATATTCTTTGACGAGTTGGTCATCTTTGCTGTTATTTTTTATATGTTTCCCCAAAATGTTGAAACTATGGGAGGATTGTTCTCAAGCAACGATACGAGGTTAGTTAAAGCAATTACCCACTCAGTTACAAACGTGCAATGTGGTATAATGTGTTGCACCATACAACATTGCAGTAGCATTGTAATACAATACATTCAACTGATTCTTTCAAAAGAAACAAGCTTTCTGAGACACAACCCACTGGCACAACTCATGAGAAGTTCAAGTGTTTTTGGCCAATGCCTTAAGTGTTTTTTGCAGATATCATGTGTGGTAGGCATATCTACAAATGTAAACATAAACGTAAAGCAATAATAAAGCACTAATGCATTCATTCATTCATTCATTTTAATGTGTATTATAAATAATAAGTATATACTGTACCGTATTTATTTGATAACTGATAAATTCACTATAAAGACAAAATAATAAACAATTCAATGTGGAAATTGTTTACTGACAAAGTATTGTTTTGCGCGATAGAGAGAACAAAGAGTTTGCGTGGATGGTGGAGAACAAAAGACAATGAAACAAACACAACCATATAATTAATAACTTCTTGGACAATTTCATGTGAAAGTGACTAAATGGCTATCAATAAATGCTTCTAGGCAGTAATTTACGATACATAGTATGGAGATAAAAAGTTAAATATTGTTGTTTTATACCTTCTAACTAGATTTAAAACTATACGTAACATGTTTTTTAAAATTACTTCTTCAAAGTAATGTTCGGATCGTCTTTTGTTCCCACGTATAAACTGATAATCAACTATGTGCCAAAAATTAAATAATTTAATAAAGTATGATTAGAAAATCTAATAGTTTGTGCGTAATATACCTTTGCAAAATTTATGGTGATTACCTTATAGAGTTTTAATAAAATTGACGTTCAGTATAATTTATTCACACGTCAATAAGCAAATGGATATAAATAACTTAACATGCCTAGATGATACCTATATATGAGTTAGCATATTCAGGTGATAATGGTTTTAAAAGTTCCATTGATTCAAAAGCAGCAGCCTCCCTTCCCTCTTTTATCTTTTTCGCTATAACTCGATTTTTTATCTTTTGTAAATCTTAGATTGTCAAATTTCTGTATAACTGTTTTTTCTCCCACCTTCACATTCTAGGAGGTAGGCTCTAGATTAGAACTGGTTTAGACATCACTTCAGGCTTGTTATAGAGGCTTGCGACATTATGACTTACAAAAAATCCATTGGTGATTGGCGACATTATATTCTGGGACTCTATAACAATTCACTATTTTAATGTTTGTACAATAGAAGATTTGAACGTCTACGTAAATAGAACTTCAAATAGAATGATACTGAATTTGTGACTGTGTATGTACATATGACAACCAAAGGCAGATTTAACACAAATTGGTTTATCAAATAACGTTCACCCAAAAACAGAAACATGGTTGGCACTACGAACAATTAACTGTTAGATATGCTCAAACCGTTGTAAGGCTTTGGAAGTAAAACGCTGAAGAAAGATTGATGATCGTTAATAAAAAATAGATTCAGAGATAAAATACTGTTACTAAAAGAAATGTCCAAGTAGTCACTCAGTCAGGGCATAAATTTAGGCAACGCCATAAGTGGAAAACTGATGGCAGGCCAGCCAAACCTTCCCACCAGATATCTAACTTTGCCAGATATATGTTTGTCAATTATATATAAGATTGAGTGAGTAAAGAAGCCTTAGAACTTGATGCACTTGATGAAAAAGGTGGGCTGGTTGCATTAATAGATCCTTAATATGCTCGAACAGATCGTGAAAGACTTAAAAAGAGAGTTTAAAATAGTAACTAACCCCTGTACAGTGTTTTTTTTTTAATGCAAACTTTAGAGAATTGCAAAAAACCAGTTAAGACCTAATACGTATTTTTTTCTCAAATTGTTTCATTGGTATTTAGTGTTTTTGCATGGATTTGTTAAACCTTAAGGAGAAGCATGGTTTTAAAATTAAGTTCATGATATTCAAATGTTTTTATTGTGTTTTTTTAGCACTCATTGGTTTTAAGGCACAAGAAACCCAAGATCCTTTGTTGACTTCAGATATGGCAAGATTAGCCACCTCCTGGTCTTTGTCCTAAGAAAAAATAAACGGTATCAGCATTCTGACACATACTTTCTCCCATAAGTTTGTCAACAACCTTTATCATGTGTAAGCGGTGAGAGTAAATATACGGAAATGAGATTTGTAAGATTTTCTTCAGAATTTAAAGGACTATAACATACTAAATTTTTATCAAAATCGTTCGAGCCAATATTGGGAAAATATGATTTTCGGTTATTTTATGGGGTTTTTATGGGGGAATAACATAATTTACAATAACTTTTGAACCGTAATTTTTACAGAGATGGGATTTGTACCATTTTGTTCAGAATATAAAGGACAATAACATACTAAATTTTTATCGAAATCGTTCAGGCCATTTTTGGGAAAATCTTTTTTTCCGTCATTTTATGGGGTTTTATGGGAAAATACCGATTAAAAATAAAAATTTCTAAGAAATGAGAAAAACTATCAAAATTGTAAGGATCATAACATACTGTACTATGTTAAATAAAAACGGATTTTTTTGTCTACAATCCTATTTTTCGTTATTTTATGGGATTTTTATGGGAAAATAACATAATTTACCATAACTTTTGAACCGTAATTTTTACAGAAATGGGATTTGTACCATTTTGTTCAGAATTTAAAGGGCTACAACATACTAAATGTTTATCAAAATCGTTCGGGCCATTTTTGAGAAAATCCCGATTTTTCCGGTTTTTTATGGGTTTTTATGGGGAAATCCCCATTAAAAATCAAAATTTCAAAAAAATGAAAAAACGCCTGGAGATACCATGGATTAGAACCTACATACCAAATTTCATCGAAATCGGACCACAGGTGTAGTCTCTAGCTCTGTACACATCCAGACACACAGACACACAGACACACACACACACACACAGACATCACTTCGAAAACCACTTTTTTGGGTCCAGGGGGACCCAAAACGAATATATCCACTCAAAACTCAAACTCGAAAATTTTGACGAAAACAATACTTTCTCCATATACTATGGTATAGGGGGAGAAAGTAAAAATATAGTCAAATGTTATATACTAGAATTATTACGTTATACATTTTAACTGATTTGTAGAATATTATTTATCATTCATATTATTATTATCATCAACAGAAAATACTATTTATTATTGTAAATAAAAAAACAACTTTAAAAGTAGGAAAATAAAAAGCTCTGAGCATAGATTCTCTAAAAAATTATATAATTTATTTTTATTGAAAGTTTGATCAATTTTTCGTGAGAAGTATGATATCTATTGAAATCGATTTGGTTATGCACTTAAAGTTCTATGTATAAACACAAAATCTGAGAAGAAAACAAACATAATGACAAAAAAAACCAACTGCAGTATTATACACTTTATTTATCTACTCTTGAGGTAGAATGAAAGCATGTGTATGAAAAATAAGCTGAGCTATTTACTCTCGAATGTGCTCCATAGTATCAATTGAATATAATGAATACAATTATTTCCCTTAGACATAATGAATTGGTTTCCTTAATGGTAAGGAAGTAATTTTCATTTTGAACGTGTACATATATTCGAATTTGTTCAAATAAGAATTTTTGCAACGCCATTCATTTTAAGTTTATATAAATAGGAGAATATGTAAAAAAAATAAGCTGTATGTTATTTCAGTATAATATTGTGTAAGATCTTACCATCATTGAAATAAGGGTCGTGGAAAAATCCAGCGCCTAAAAACAAATTAGAATGAAAACATACATAAAGACAATAATAAGAATTTCTATCATGACTTGCATGAATTAATGTAGAATTTGTTACAAAATGTCCTACTTATAAGCAGAGTATTTGTAATTATAAATTTAAGCTATTTTTTTCAAACATTTTTACATTTTGTTATGCAATTTGACAAAAAGTACATACAAAAAAAACATGTAAATTTAGAAAAACCCAACAATACGATGCTTATTATTTTAGAATACTTAAAAAAAATACGAGTATCTTACCTCCATTGGGAGTAGGGAGGTATCGAATTCCTGAAATCAAAAAAGTAATATTAAAATAAAACAAAATATCCCTGCAAAAATAGGGTATTGAGCTGGTCTAGTAATAGAACGTGGGGCTTCGGTCCCTGAGGTCCCAGGTTCAAATCTCGCCAATCAACAATAGATTTAATAGATGTGATAATGCCGCAACCTTCTAGGACTAGCCTGAAGTAATGTGTAAATCAGTTCTGACCTAGAACTAACGTTCTAAGAATCTTAGAACGTTAGTTCTAGGTCAGAACTGATGTGAAGGGGAGACATAAAAAAATAAAATGAAAGCGAATACTGTCTGTTATAAACTGCATTTTTTGAGAAGATTACTTACTTTTCGGTTACATAATGATGAATAAGTAGGTTTTTCTGTAAATTCAATCAAAATACTTAACAATGAAAAACATTTTATTGAATATTATATTATTTATTTTTATGAAAATGCTTACTGCCAACAGTAGTGTTTGTCCTTTTAGTATGTTGATGTAATATCTCACATATCTCCTATATCTATACTTATAAAAGTCAAATACCATTTACTGACTTACTGATCACTGATCTCAAAAACTTCGAACCATAAGAACTCAGGAATTGGTATGGAGATTTTAATTAGGCTCTATGAGTGCAATAAGAAGCGTTTTTAAGAAATTCCATCAGGGCTCTGCCCCAGTGGCCTCTAAGGTTTGCATGTTATCCTTTTGGAGAAAAGATTTGTTTACATTTGAACACATGACTTCATGTTGTTAGTTTCCGGATCACTGGTATAGTAATAAGTATAGGTTTAAATACCCTATACTGTCAAAGTGATCCTTTGTAGTCTATAGGCTACTGCAGTTACGTTCCCGATGGAAACCTCATCCGGTTCAAGTACATCAAATTTCGTTCCAGAAGAAGTCGTTGAAGTTAAAATCCATCGATGTGACACATTGAATTACACACAGACGAAAAGACGAACAATAAATAAACACTACAAAAACGCCGGTACCGGGAAACACGATACGCACGGAGGGCAGGTCTAGACTGAAGCGTTATCTTGAAGTGTATTTCCTCCCCCCCCCCCTCCTTCCTTATCACGAGTTATCCTTGTTTTCGTTGTGACCATGCGACTCGCCTATTCTTATTGCCGATTAGTAAATTATATTGAATTTAAAACCTCTTTGTTAATTGAGAACATTGTGTGGTTCTTTTTCACGGTATTTTAAATCTCATACTTTTCCATCGTGTCCATAAAACGGCCGCTTTTACATTTGTGCAAAATTTCAAGGTTGCCAGCTATTTTTGAGTAACTATGTCTATTGTTAATGAGATGATTGGCGTATGAGGATGTATGTTTAGTAATGGCTTTGCCTGACAAATGTGCTTTGAATCTGACATCAAATGATCTTGCTGTTTGGCCGATATAATAACTATGGCAATCACTACAGTTTAATTTATAAATACATGTGCTGTTCATGTTATTTTTATCTGCATCGGTCCGTGGATTTTTCTTTAAATATTGCGCAGTTTATTTGACGTTTTTAAAGATACCGTACTGTTATTTCTTGCCATCTGACTCTTAATTGTATTGTTGAGTACAGTGCCATATTTCAAAGAATTGGAATTAGTCAGTTGGGGTTAAACGTTTGATTACCGCTATCGGCTGATTGCTCGGTCAGTGGGTCAGGGGTCAAGGATCGTTAACAATAATACACAGGGTAGCTTGTACCTGGGGCACCAGTACCCGTATAGGGGTAGTGGATTTTTATCTCCCTGGAATTTTACCCCATGGGCAAAACTGACGTCAAAAACCAGGAGTTAATATTCCGGCCGCGAGAGTTTGAGTTACACAACATCAGTTTGATGGATTAAAGGTGGAATTAAACACGGTTGTGAATTTAATCAGAACACATCAAATTATAAAAACCTAGAGTGTACGGGCCGGAATTTCACTCCAAAATTTTTACCCCCGGGATTTTTATCCCCGAAATTTTACTCCCTGGCCAAATGTAGAAATAAGCGAAAATGATTAATGTTCTTCTTTTATTTTTAATTTAAGTTATTAGCAAACATTTTATTATTAAGTAGATTTTTTAACTTATTTGTAACCTTAATTAATCAAAAAGGTTTTGAATTTCATTTTTAATACTCAAGTTTCGGGATTAGATTTTTGGGACTAACTGTTGGTTAATATGTATATACACACATATCCAACAGTTGGCCCCAAACCCAAAACCCGTATATCAAAATTAAACAGTAAAACCTGTTGACTTAGTTGAGATTACAAATAAACTAAGATAGGCTGCTTAATAGTAACATTTTTACTATTCAATTAAAACTATAAGAAGAAAATTAATGATTCTCAATAATTTCTATATATGGCCAGGGGGTAAAATTCCGGTGTTTATTGCTAATCTAATTTATCCCGCTCTGTCTATTTTCATTATACTTCCAAATCCGCGGGGGTAAAATTCCGCCATCGAACAAACTTGAGAGCGCTCAAGTTACTACGTTATAGTGACGTCAGCTTTGCCCAGGTGGTAAAATTCCAGGTGGATAAAATTCCGGCGACCTTCCGTATATATCACTACTTACGAGAACAAACAGTCATTGCCTCACTCGATATGTATGGCCAGACTCAGCTAAAGTTTTGTGCCATCTACAGTTCTCGTGGGGCAAGGACGTACTTTGTGCTCTCAATACACAACTTGCTAATATTCTGATAAATTTAAGTTTTACAATGTTCAAAATACTTATTCATTTAATTGCCCTACCTTCATTTTTTTTTCTTCCTCCCAATCTTTTCAACCATTTAATGGGACCAGCTTCACTCCAAGGAAGGAAAGAACAGGCCAGAAGCTGAAAGCAACATACATTAACAAATAGCATACAACTATAGTTCGTCCACTTAGATAGCGACCTACGCGCTAATGCTAACCAATGCTATCTTTAAGTGGCCGAACTATAATGTTGGCATTATCGAAAATCTACTTGCATTAAACTACCTTTCATGGTCACGACATAAATTAAAACATCTTCAAATAAGACTAAAACCGCCTTAAAAAAAGAAACGAATACTTCTCCTGAATCGATGTTAATATAATTTAATAATACCCCCGCCACAGCAAACCTGCAGACTAAGCGAATTTCCATTTGCCTGATTTGATTTTCAATTAAATCTATTCAAATAACATTAGGTTTAACGAGTACCTAGGTTTGCTACCTACAGGGTAATAAAGTGTGTTTTTCAGTAAAATATTAACAGCTTAGTATAAAATAAATCGATTGGCCAAGTTTGATCCAAATATATGCATAAACAAGCAAACTACAAACGTTTACTTATTCTCCATAAGAATAACATGGAAATTTTTAATTTATAATTTTCTCCGTAACCAATAACCATACAAAAACACTTCAATATACTGAATTATTTGTTTTTTTAAGCTCTTCAAATAGGTCTAGAAGAAATTTGTGAAATTTTATGTTTTGAGGGACAAAAATGAGAAAAACCAATTTTTACCCCATAAATCCCCCCATAAAACCCCGTTCCCATGGTCCGATCATGCTGGCTCGCGAACTCGTTCGAATAAACGTAGGTTTACACGTTTTTACCAAATTTCATCGAAATCGGATCATTTTTGCCCGAGTTATCGTGCTGACGGACACACATATATATATATATATATATAAATATATAAATGTATATATATATGAATTTGAACGGATGGTGTTTTTGGCTTCTAGGAACATCAAAATGAAAAAGTAAATCGGTCCCGGGACTAAGTCTTACCATGATACCTACGGTAATAGCTTATTCCCTATAGAGAAATTCGCTAATAAAACGACAGAATCTCAAGAAGTTCAGCAAATTAATGATTTAAAACCTTCTACATCGTCTGAATGGGACGTCTTTTATCTGAAAACAATGCTCATATTTCATCTCAACACCTCTTGTTCATTTAATTAACACTTCTCTTTATACAGGTATGTTCCCTGATCAATTGAAGCTCTTAAACGTAATACCAGTTATAAAGAAGGGGATAAAACGATTTAGCTAATTACAGACCAATTTCATTACTGCGGGCATTCTCAAACATTTTTGAAAATATTGTTTTTAATATGTTGTATGATAACTTTAACAATTGTCAACTTTTTTACATACATCAGTATGGATTAGTGAAAGGTAAAAACACTGTACATGCCATATTTAGCTTTGTATCGTAGGTAGCGGATGCTCTTGACAGTTCGCAGAATGTAGCTGATCTCTAATGCATCCATATACTTCAGCATTGTACATACTTTAGTGTAGGCCTACATTAGATGATGATTTATAAAATGTCAAGAGATTAATTTTGGTCTTAAAATAGCTAACACCTAAGTTAACCAACATTCGCTTGTAAATATTGTTCATAGAAAAAGGTAAATATAAATAACTTCTTGATCAGCATTGTACGTGTTATTAAATTTACGGAAAGTAAATAAAAGAAACGTCTTATAACACTTAAAACATATATTTACGCTTATACTGTTACTCACAAGACGGTAAATATACAAAAAAGATGGTAAGTGGTGATCGATTTCGATTGGACACTCAAATCATCATCAGACCCAATAGGCGAATGACAAGAATCTTGAATGGCGTCCCTACTTATAACCAAACATAATATATGACCAAACATAGCATAAATATAACCAAACCTAATAAAGATTGGATTATAATGTGTCTCTATACTGAGTTCTTCTTGCTTAATCAAAAAATGTAATAGTTTTCAGTCGGAAAGAGTCCTGAGATTCCGTAAAATTTTAACTTATTTCATTTAAAAAATTAAGGGTAAGTTTAAGTTTCCTGTTGTAGTTTTTTAGCGAGCCCAAGTTCTTGCAGTGACTAATACTTCAAAGGAAGGACGGTGAGAAGATTTTCTTAATGCTGATAGCCTTTTTCGAATTCAGCGTCAAAAATACTGGGTATTTTCTATAGTTTGGGCCGTTTAGGGGAACCAAACAAATTCTTTCTTATCATTTCAGT